CTTTTTTTTCTTATTCGACTTTTTGTTTTATGTCGCCCGAGATAAAAGTTAACGAACTTCGGAAGAAATAGGAAAACGTAGCAAGAAATACAATTGTCGATAAAATAATTGCTAAGGGGGGGAGAAGTAAGAGGCAAAAAGCAAGAAACAGGAAACAAAGAGCACATTGTAGAATAGACTTTAGGTTTATGGCACATAAAAAATTTAAGCAATAAAACATAAACAATTAAGAAATCAACATGTTGCTACTACTTATGTTATTAACTTACAGTTCCTACCGTGATTGGCCAATTCGTTTACTGCTTACGTTTTTTGTGTGTCATGACCCTTATAGTGGACGTTCGTATGTAGGAATAGCTTAATACTCTGTGAATATACAGAATATGCTCTGTGGCCATTCGTAGCTAAAGGATTAAAGTACACACGGTATGTAATATAATTACAAAAGGAAATCGTAAACTATGAATTATTTTGTATATTTTTTTTAATAAAGATATCAAAAATGGAAAAAGTTCTCTGCTAAACTTACATGTTCCATATATAAATTATTTAACAAAAAGTAATTGCTAGATAAGTCTTTCTTTGTTAACGCAATGTTTTAGCTTTAAGATATATCTAATAAAAAGTTTTACAACTTTCTGTCATTGAAAAACTACGACAGTATCAGAAATAAAAGGATTGGGTTGTACTACATAAAATTGTTGATATTTAATTAATTTGAAATTGAAATAATATTTCAATTATGAAATATTCATAGTTTGCAACACAATATCAGATTTTATAATTTTCTTTAATCATTAAATTGTTTTTTATATTCTTCATAGAAATAAGATAATTTTTAAAAAATAATCAATCTAAAATGAAAGAATTGTAAATATTTTTTATATGGATTTGAAATTACAACGTAATACAGCTCAAATAGAAATATTAATATAATTTTTAAAGAGAACTCTGTTAGTGAAAGGATTATTCGATGATAATTGATACATTTCCTCAAAATCTAAATCTCGAAAATGAATTTAGATAGTCCCAAATCCTAAGCCTAACAATGCGTGTTTTGTTGGAATAAAACTTGTTCTTTCTAAAACAGTATTTTTATTTTGGTCAATAAAACAGCAATTTCTTATGGTACAACCTAATATATAACAAAATATTTTAAATGTGCAATATATGCGATAAACTATGCTGATGTACCTAATCAGACAGAATTATTTTGCCAGATAACAAAAAAATATTTTAAAAAATTATATTGAGAAAATTATATCTAATATTGTTACACATCCATCTTAAAGAATTTATTTACTCTGACTGTTTGTTCAGAAGGAATTTGAGAATAGATTGAATACAAAATATTTTCACATTAAAAATGTATTTCTTTATAAAAATATAAAAAATATTTATACAGAATATTAACATCATAAATTTCTACATATTAAAATATATGCATAAAGATTTTGCCAAAGATTTGAAAAGCAAATATTTTTAAAATCTATATTACTTTTTTTAATCTGATGAAGGAATTTATTGATTTTTAAAATCATGATTTCAAAAAAAATTTTTAATATAATAAAATATATTCTTTCATTGAACGGTTTGGATGGGTAGATACTTTTAAAAAGATTACAATTATCGAAGCAAGCAGTTGGTACTGACGAAAAAAATTTCTGAAAATGTTTTCTTAAGAAAAGAGAACTTTTATTTTGTAATTGACGAAATATCAAACTGCAATGTACTAAGTTGTACATATACTTTGTATAAAGAAAGACAAAAGTGATTAAAAATATATTCCTTTATACTTGAGATGTTTTATATTAATATTATGTGTGCATTATCATATGCAATCTTTATTTATTATCATTCCTATTAGTTACATGCAAATAAGTATTTTCAATTTCTTTACATTGTATACGTTATATGTCTTCATATTATTATACTATTACATTTATTCTTTACATATATCATTCTTTATATTAATTTATAAACTTTAAGTAATAGTCATCTGTCTGTCGAATGTATAGAAATGATCTATCATCGCGAGCGACTGATAATGAGATATTACAATATTGTATATGTGTGTATGATAATAAAAAGGATAATTTA